TTACAAAATTAACTATAATTATAAATAATACAAATAAAGAAGATAATAATAGATAAAAGATAAAAATAATAATTTAGGGTGTTACAATAGTGACTAACTTAATAGAAATAATAGGAACTTATCGTAAACTTACGTCTACTTACTATCCTCAAAGTAATGGGCTAATAGAATGGTTTAATTAAACACTTTGTAAAACTTTGAAGAAATGTGTAAAAGAAACAACACAAGAATGGGATGCATTGATAGCTTTGATACTTTCGTATACCGGATAACTAAGAATAGAACAACAAAATATGAACTATTTTATTTATGATATGGATGAGCCCTCATATTGCTCATAGAACTTGATATTATTACTTGGCCAGTTGAAGAATTAGTAAAAGACGATTTAAAGAAATAATTTGTAAAAGGACAAGTGAAGTTGTGGGAATATTTGAAAATAATTGAATTAATGCTTCTAAAAATATTAAAGATGTGCAGAAATGACAAAAGACAACTCATGATAGAAAATTTAAACAATGATATACAAGATTGGTGATATAGTATTAGAGTACAGATCTGATTTACAGAATGTTTATGGTGATAAGTTTCGAGACAGATGGTCTGGTCCTTTCTTTATTCATAGAATTCTTGGTAATGGCTTTTACATATTAAGAACTAATAGTGGAAAAGTTCTTAATAGTCGACCTGTACATGGCAATCAATTGAAATCGTATAAACAAAGGGGTTATCATCCTATGTGAGATAACAGGTATACAAAAAAAAAAAAAGAATTCATAAAACTACAAAAATTCCTGAAAATTTTTATCAAAATTTTTCTTTTTAAGATAAATAATATTTTAATTTCAAATGGTTTACAGAAGAGAGTTCATGAATTACGTAAAGAATTTTCACAAGCTATAGGTGAAGTGCAAATTATTATAAATAATACTGGTGAACCAGATTAAGCTATTGATTATGATTTGGATGGTCTTTTACAAATAGTTACAGACATACATGATACAAATGGCCAAAAAATGAATATGTATAAGAAGCTTGATAATTATTTGAAAGATACTTTATTAAGAAGTAACGTGACAGTGTTGAAAAGAAAATTACATGAACGATCTCATCAAAATGGATCACGAATTTATCAAATAGCAACATGAGTACAATTATTATTCTGGGAGATAGGAATTCCATATGTCAGAAATTTTCAAAATGTTATGCCAGGTTAGATCTATAAGCTACCTAAATCAGAGTTCAAAAGATTTTTGCAACTATGTAAAACAATGGGTGTACAATTAATAGAAGAACTTTTAGAAATAGATGTCAGGTCGCAGAAGCTCCCCTTTGAAGGAGAAAATGTTTGTGGTAATCCAAATTGGTAATCAGGTGAAATGTCGCAGGGGATGATAATTTGTGTCACTAGATAAACATTCAGGTAATTGTTATCTCACATGAGATGACCGTACGAGGACAAAGTATAAAGTACAAAGACAACCGTATGAGAATGAAGGATAACTGTACCACGATGAAGGATGAAGTATGAAGATAAGAAAGATGAAGTGAAAATAAAAGAGAAAGTATAAATATGACTGTTGTCAGGTGTAAGTTTGAAAGAGAGTAATCAGAATTCATTAATAGTTATTAGTTAATTAATTATTATTTAATATTACAAAATATATTGAAATATTTTAATTATTATTAGATAGAAAAGTAAACTTACTTCAGGGATGGTAAAATAGACATCCTAACACATGATAATATTTCTGTCATTGAATTATACTTTACTTTTAAAACTTTATATTTTATATTTTAATAAACTTATATTTCGTGCCATAATATTGTGAAATATTATTAAATATTGTTTGATACTGTGTTAACTACTTTTACTCCACCTTACTCACTGTGCCTTCATGATTAATTGATTAATTATTTGATTATTATTATTATTTATTATATATTTATTATTTGTTTCAAGATAGGCCAGTTAAATCGATTGTATTAGCTATGACTTACTGGCAAATAGAGCATATTATTATGTTTGTGTGATGTAAACTTTGAAACTGATTTAAGAAATTATTTGAAATACTCTATACAGTGGTGACACTATCCTATTTTACTATTAAAATATGTGCTAAAATTTAAATTCCACATGTGATTGACACGCAACAGTAGATATTTAATTAACACTAATTACCTACCTGGTCATTTTGATTCTTGACTGTTCTAACATTCAAAATATGAAATATTCAATACTTATAAATAAATTACATAGAGTAGTAGTTGTGTCAATTAACTAAGGAGTCACTGAGATTTGTGGGATCTCTATCCCTACTGCTTCCATCATTTCATGCCTTTCTTCACATCATCAGAGCTATTGAACACTATGAGTGCTTTTCATTTTCTTTTGAAACTTCATTATATTGTGTGAATAGCAAGTGTAAAAACTATATAATTGATTATTTAATCAAGACTGATTTATTAGGGATATAGAAAAACAGTCGTAACAATTGATAGATTATAATAAACACTTGTGATTTCACTTATTCAAACAAGTGCATAATTTTTTATTCAAGATCAAAACTAGGTGCATTTGATTTTATAATTGTATTTACTATGTTCTTATCCTATTAAAATACGTGTTAATTTTAAATTCCACATGTGATTGGCAAGCGACAGTAGATAGTTAATTAATATTCATTACATGATTGGTCATTTTAATTCTTGATAGTTCCAATATTCAATACATAGCAATAGAGTAGTAATAGTTGTGTCAATTAATTAATTAATTACAAAAGTATCAAATTTTGATTACTTTTTAGTCTAAAATGTTAGTCTAACTTTGAAATCAGTGAAATGTATTGTTAATTGCTATTAATGGTTTTCTCTTGAATGGAAAGGCCTTTGGAAAAGTATTGTATCCAGACTGTGTCCACAAGATTTTCTTCAGACAAACACAAATTTTGAAAATGTCCAACCTGAAAGCTGATTATACACAGTTCTGTTCAAACTTTTTCTCCGAGGAGGTGATTATCACGTGTAAGTGTCCAACAAATGAGAACTATTTTCTACTAATATGTATGTGCATAGCAATGTCTGTTCCGATGTCAATGCCTGGTCTGATATTCATGTTTGCATCTATTGACAATACTACTTTGGAATATACTCTTTGGTACTTGAAATTTTTTAGATATTTGTGTTATGGATGATATGCTAACTTTGACTTTTGAGGAAAGAATCAGAAGTCTGAGATTTTTGTATTTACCCAAACTCTGATCTGATCATAATGATTCATCACAGTTTTCAGCAAAATCATCTGCCCTATGAAAAATGTTGTATATAATTTTTTCAATTCCTAATGCATTAATACTGGAGGCAAAAATTATAGGAAGAAATTTTGATCGAATTTTATTCTTGTTTCAGTAGGTAGTAGTACTGGAATTAAATGAAATGTCAATTTGATTATGCATTTCTAAACTCCATCCAGAAATATTGGAAAGGGTATTAGATCATTCTGTTTTACTTCAAGAATTCTCTTTTATTCATAGATAACATACTTATCTGTCTTTCACAGAATGGCTAATTATAATTAAAAAGTAAGTCCTATTATAGTAATAAGATCTGGTCATAATATGACATAACATATAATTATAAAATATGAATGAATAAAATATTAATAACAATATGAATTGAAATTAATGGATGAATTTCTTAAATAAAGAAACAATTACAAATTAATTTTATTATATAAATGATAAAATAAGGATGCCAATAATTTATTCAATTTGCTGATAATGATGATAACTGGCATTAAAAAAATATTTACTGAACTTTACAATTAATTATTATTATAAATCAATTTATCTTGGTAAAAAGACTTTTGAATAAACCGAATTATTTATTTATTCCTGTTTGACGAAGAATCCTGTTTTGAGAGAACAAAATAATTAAAAATAAGTGACTAATTTATTTATAATAAAAATTAAAAATATTATTTAATAAAAAATTTACATATAAATATAATAATAAATTATAATAAAAAATAATTTTTGTATGCAGTTAAAATTCTTCAGCTTTTCTTATTTAAATTTTGATATCCTTAATGTTAAATAAAGTTTATTGGCTGATTTTCCATCTATTTATATATATATTTTATTTATAATTAATATATTACTAAAATTTATACTTTAATTCACATCACATCACGTTTCACGTTACCAAATTTTTCCATTTCCCGTAGCCAAATATATATTTTAAATCCACCTTCTACTATCTCTGTAATATTTTGAAAACTTTTCATTCTAATCATTATCTGCAATTAATTATCTATAGTTTCATAGCCATTTACCAATTAGAAAAGCATTTCCAACCTCTTATTGACCACTAATATTAAACATTCCATAACTTTCTTATAACGTTCAAATACTTTCCCGATCAATATTAATCCATAACCATTTTTATAATAACATCCTAAATAATTTTGAACATCATAATCTTCTTTTTCGGTTGCCTTTAAAAGCCATTAAAATGCTTTTTGAAAATCTTTACCCACACCTATATAACAATATGCAAATATAATATTGCATTAATATTTCCGATTTCATATACAACGGGAATTTTTGGCTACATCTTAATTTCGCTTATATGACACCAACCAACTCTACATTAAGCAACAAGAATTCCTTTTTCTGCAAAATTTTAAATATAATTCAAATGTTTATTCTTCAACCCATAATCCATTCCTATGACAAAGATTATAAGTGCTATAATATTAATATAAAATTATTCTAGTTATTGTATTTGTTTCTTTTAGTTGTACTTTTCAATGTCTATTTTTTGCTTTGACGATGTTTACGTTATTTTTTCTTTTTCCTTTATGTCTTCTTTTTCCAGAAAATAAAGTATTTTACCATTTATATCTTTTTTCAGGGTATTAAATGTCGCATCTAATGTTTTGGTTATTATACTGTTGACTTTAATAAAGTTTTTTAATATTTTTCAATTTTTTTGGTTATTAGCCCGCATATAATATAAATGCTCTGGTCAATCTGAATGCGGGCTGTTAAGGAGCTCTTATTTCTATTTTTATTCTTTCTCCTTCTTCTAATATTACTTTATATGATAGAGTCTTTTGCTGCGAGATTCAGTGTAAAAACGTGAAAAGCATTTTCTGTTGCCATTTTACAAATGATGCTTTGTCATCTTCACGGATGTCAGGACATCTTTCCATTAGGTTCTTTTTTACTGGTCATAATATTTTATATTCAATGTTCGTTGACCTAGTTATTAGTATTTGTTCCATTGTGTAATAACTTTTTGTATGTGGCCAGTCCGTTTCCCTCTGTACATTTTTTTAATTCGCGAATGATTTCGTTCTAGAGTTCATCGAGTGATTTCCATTTTATTTTGTTGTTGGACTTTACTAGGTTCTTAATGGATATGCGACGTTGTTTATGTAATTTGCCAAATGATTTATCAAGCCTACATTTAATTGGATTCTTTCATTATTGATGCCCCCGATTCTGCTAATTCATCTTGTGTATTTCCCAGTGTGCTCGTGTGCTTCCACTTTGGTTAGTTCGAACTTTACTCATTTTATTTGCTATCTCAAAAATAACTGGAAGTGGTAAGGGATATTTATATTTTTTCCAGGCTTTATTTTGTTTACTAGTTGTGAAGCCATTGTTAATATTCTGGCACCGTTGGTTTGGGAGGTAACAGATTTGTTACTTTAAGAGCTCATAGTTCTGTGCTTTGAATTAAATGCAGAGGCATCCGGAGCCTCTTAATCAAACAAGATTGGCTTGTTGTGTGGGTGATTATGTTATTCCTATTCCCAGACTTTTGAAGGTCGCATTTATTTGGTTATTACTGATCCGTCTGTATATATTTCGATATTATGATAAATGTTAATCCTGTTTGCATTTGAGATTTTAGATTGATTACTGGACTGTTAGTTCTAAGTATGATATGTTCTTAAGATAGAGTTCGGTATTAATTTTAGCTTTTAGTGTAGATTTAGGTTGAACTCTTGATTTACTAAGTATGCTCTTATGAACTTGGATGACAAAAGTGACTCACCGGTAATTGTGTTGTTCTTTCAACTCTGTTTTAAATGTACAATCTTGACATTTTTTTTTGGATTGGAGTATCTCTTTTTTCTGAGATATCAGTTTCTGCAATCTCACAGCCCATACATGGAGTTATTACTGAGGCCACATTTCGTCTCGCGTTTTACTCACAAAATATTTGATTAAGATCTCTTGACTACACTCGAGGTTGGTTTCCTTTGAATTCTTCTTCTTATTACTTCCGAATTTTTTGGGTGCGATTATCGTTTGATCCCGTTTTGCTTTCTCTTTTCCTAACTTAGGGGGTTTGTGAGGTTTAGAGCATTTGCATTATTTTTCCTTATTTGGTCTTTCCATACTTCGATATATGTCATCAGTTATTCAGTCCATTTGGCTTTTTTTCTGGAGATGTATTCTTGATTTAGGTGCATTCTATGTAGCGTGTGGTGAAGGTCTACATTTAATAACTGTTCTAGATATGAATTATATGCTAGTCTTTTGTTATCAGGTTGTTTAACTCCCCATTTGGAATATTAGGAATTAGGTGGCTCGTGTTGGATTTAAATTGATATTTTGTTTGGCCAATACTTTGATTATATATCCGTTTAGATTTCTTGGTGTCCCTGAGAATCTGTCTATTACTCTTTGTTCCAAATAGTTCGCGTAGGTTAAAAATAATTTTTAATTGTTGTATTCGAATTGATCTGACATTCCCATATAAGCATTTATTTTCTGCACAAATTTTGATACATAATGTCTTAAATAATGACAATATTTCTTTTTCATATTTAAGAAAATAAAGTTTTTTAAAAATTCGAAGAAAATGAATATATATATATGATTTTATTCATAATTTGGAATTTTTTTTTTTAAGAAAAAAACTCCTTCTCAACAACTTAATACGCGAAAATTCTTTCAACTTCCTCCACCACTTCTCTCTCCTAGTTTCATACTCGCTAAATTCTTTGACTTCATTTTGCCCCCACGTACCCTCTTCCTCCCCATAAACACAGCAAGTTCTTCATCGTTCAATGGATGCCAAGCTTCCTCAACTTTACCCCTCCTATTTCGCGTTCGATATATGTAACCTCCTAAAAAATTAAAAAATCTTAACTAATATTATTATTATTTTATTAACATATTGATTACAAAAAAAAAATAATTTAAATACATTATTCATCAACTTTTTTAGAAATATAATTTTATTTTTGTCAGTTGGCAGCGCCATAAGTTCCTTATAATCTTGGTCATTGAGACCAAAATAAATTTCCTCCATCTCCTCCGCTGTCAACCTGTCCTTTTCTTCTTTTGTTTGTTTTTTTTTGTTTTCATGATATTTGCTGGAGTTTGAAAATTAAAAATTTATTAACAAATATAAAAGTTTATTAAAAAAAACATTACAAAACAATAAATAAATATATTCGATTCGTACCAGGAGAAAAATTCTTTCATTTTTTTATAATTGAAGTCATTTTTGTTTGCAAAAAAAAAAAAATTTAGATTTTAAAAAAATAAAATTTTTTTGCCTTTGATAAAAAAAGGGGATTATTGATCAAATCTGATGTAATAATATTAACAATTATTACATCAGATTTAGATAGTTTATGATAAATATTACATCAGATTTGAATCATACTAGCGCAGCACAGAAGCACAGAAAAAAGCATAATTCAATATCATGTGAAAGAATTTCCCAAATAGTTAATAATGGCATGATATGGTACCATACCTAATAAAGGAAATATTAGGCATCTTATCAAAAAAAAAAAACTCCCGTTAATGATCATCATTAATAGCGCAGAAAAAATTCATGACTGATTTTTTTTTGATAAGATGCATAATGCATAAAGGATTCATATTTGATATAGCATAATATAATTATTAAAAATATTTACATATATATATATATGAATCAATTTAAAATTATTAAAATAATTCTAAAGTTTATCCCTTATCAAATCATATCACTTTAATATAATACAATTATTTATTATTATTCAATTGTCGATTGTTAATTTATTTTACTTATAGCGATAATGTAGTTATTTCATATTGAAAGTTAAAATACAACTATAAATTTAAAAATTTTATTTAGAGAATAAATAAATATTTCATTAGATGGATGATCCATCTACAGAATTGATGAATAAGCAGTTAGTTGATATTAAATTTTTTTTATTAAGTATCAAACTGGTAATCACGTTTATTGATTACACAGAAAAAATTTTATAAGGATTTCCTAATTATAGATAAAAGTTAAGTATCGCATTATGGTACTAATGGGGGGGTACGAATTTGATGTGTGGGTACATATATATATAATTTTTTGTGTAACAGAATATTATATTATCTAAATTTTTTACTTTTTATTTCTAATGCAATAACAGATAAATAAATGAAACTATAATAATACTTTCAACTACTTTATCGATAAGCATAATAAAAAACGATTTTCTCAAATAATTATTTTGTGATCCAAAAAAATTAAGGATTCCATATATTAAAATTGTGAAACCAAAAAACAAAGAATCTCAGTGAGATTATGGAATTCTGCAGAAGAAATTTCGATATGATGGTACATGATATTTGACTTATACTTCTATCATATTACTATGTTTTTTTTTTAGTCGAAAAAAAGAGTTACTCAGCCGATATACCTGATTTAACTTGACTAAGAATATTAAAAATAAAATTATTATATTAGACTAATAATTAACAATGATTAGCAAAATTTTGTTGTAAAACCCGTAGCTAAAATCTATATTTAGAAATATTTGGCAGTTATACTTCTACGTATTTCATTATATTCTCATTAAGTCTATATTTTTTGATTTCGCACATTGATATGAAAATCCTTTATTTTTTAGATCACAAGGAATCAGTTTTTTATTAGTTTTATATTTGATCACACGACCAACATTCATTTTTTTTTAAAAAAAAAAAACTCTTCTCATTTCTTCACAAATTTAACAAATCAAGGTAATTTTTCTATAGAATAACACTCTGTTACTTCAATACTTATTTGATTTCCCTAAAACGCGTTATATCTGTTTTTTCCTCACACTACTTGCAGCTTAAAGTTATAAAAATGCAAGACCTAATCATCTGTAACTGGTTAAAAAGAACTGCACCAACATCCTATGTTTTGGGTAGTTTCATGGCAGATATTGTTGTATTAATGTGGAGCTTAATGAAAATTGGCAGTTGTGCTACTACAAATTTGCACTTTAATAATTTTTGTGTTGAGGTATTTATATCATTATTTATTTTAAAGTAATAAAAAGACCATACAAATTAATATCTAATACCTTTTTTTTGAACATTTTAGACAATATTGAAGATAAAGATATCAAAAGAGACTGTTTTCATCGCAATTAAATATGTACAAAAGTACATGAAAAGAGGGAATACCGCAAACTTTAAAAACGAATATGAACTTTTTACGATTGCTCTAATGGTCGCACACAAGTGGCATAACGAACCAGTTTATAAGAATAAAACTTGGTCGGATTTTACTCATATCCCGTTAATCGAAATTAATAAGTTGGAAATCGCATTTATAGAATCTTTAAATTATAAGATTCATATTGATGGAGAAAAATATTCTTTTTGGTTAAATTGTTTGACAGAATATGTAAAAACTGGAAAACTCGTTTCACTATTTTTTGAACGATTCAACAAAAATTCTACTCCATCTCCTCCACCACCACCAGGTTTTGGTTTTGCATTAAAATCGCGAATTATTCCTACACCGATAGGATATGAACGAAATCAATATAAATTATATGATTTATTCGATGGATTCAAACTTGATTTTTTTCAACAAACTCAAAATAGATCATATGATTTATATGATGGACTTAGAATTGATTTTTTTAAATAGTTTTAATAATCATTTTCAAAGCGAAAAATTCATTTTTATCCTTATATTTTTTCAAATTATTTTATTTACTTTTATTTCTTGAATGTTATTCCTTATTTTTCTTTACATTTTTTATTTCTTTTATTTTGTAAATAAAATTATCTTTGATATATTCTAATGAAAAATTTATTATTTTAATGTCAAGTTTTATTTATCACGCTTTGTTTTATTCATGAAAAGTGGAAGATATATTTATTTATGTTGGTCATATGTATATAATCTGTGGAAAAATCTCTTTTTTTTATGCTGTTTGAAGAACTATTAAGCAAGTTCTTTTATTTGACCTTGAGATCGTTTTAATCAGAGAAACAGATGTTAAAGGTAGGATCAAATCCATTAATAAATATTGTACGACAATTGTCATGCTTTCTGTCATTAGGATAATCCTAATATTGTGCAACAATTGTCACGCTTGCTGTCATTAGGATCAAATCCATCCTCCAGTTTGACAAAGTATTATTTAACAATTTTCATGCTTTCTGTTATTATGATCATCCTAATATTGTACAACAATTGTCATGCTTGCTGTCATTAGGATCGAATCTATCCTCCAGTTAATAAATATTTTAATGAATTAATTGACACTACCAATACTAATAAGTATTGAATGATGGAAATATCAAGAATCAAATAATTAGGCATGTAATTAGTATTAATTAAATATCAACTGTAACTTGTCAATCACAAATTGAATTTAAATATTAACGTTTATTTATTAATAAAATAAGATAACATAGCATAGATAAATGTAATTAGGAAATTAAATGCACCCATTTTTAATCTTGAATAAAGAATTGTACATTTGTTTATGTAAGTGAAATTGCAAGTGTTAATGTTTATTAAATCTCTGGATTGCTACAACTGTTTTCTAAATCACTAATAGTTCAGTCTTAGTTTTAATTATTTTCGATAAATATAGTCTGTTTGCTATAACTATGAATGACAGAATCATTCCAAAGAGCGGAATTCGGTAATCTTAAAACAATTTACTAGATTGGCGAGTATTACCGAAGAGACAGATAATGAATTAAATAATGAAGAATCAAAATGAATCATTAACTCATAATAGAATTCTTGTTTGTCATAATTATTAAAATTTGTGTACTGGTTGCTTAAAATATATATATATCTAATAACAATATTTTTTTTTGGTTTTAGGATTTATAAATTCCCCGTTGATACCTAAATGAAAGCAACAGAGATCTCAAAACATATACCAGCTTGAAAGTATTATGGAATAAACAGATGAAGAATAATACTTATCCATTATTTGTTCTTATTTCATTGGTTTGTTTTGCTTTAATAGTTTTTTCATGTTATATTTGAATAAAATTGCATTTTATACAAATTTTTGTTGTTTTATTAATTAATGCAAAATCTATCTACAAAATTACTATATTTAATTTATATTAATTTATTTATTAAATTGATTTATACTTTAACAATTATTTAGAGAAGAATATGATCAAGTAATATGGAGATTTAATTAACTTCATTGTTTAATAATTTAAGTAATTTTATTTCAAACAATAAATATTATTAATTGTACAATTACATCACTCAACAAAATTATTTGATAATAACTATTAATTATTTCACAATACGTAATTAATTTTTTCGATATTATAATCATTTGATAATTTTTATATCTTATTAAATTTATTTTTGATTTTTTTTCTTGTCTAAAGTAATTAAATTAAATATTTAATATTAGTATGAATAATAGAAAATATATTGTTAATTTATTTAATAAATTTATTTATACTTTAACAATTATAAATTTATTGCATCTATTTATTATAAAAAGTATTTCTTTAAATTATAATTATTAAAATTGTTGAGAATTTCAGACACATGATATTCAGGTGATCTAAAATTATTTCATATGTTATAATATTCGGTGACAAATATTATGTGGCAAATATGCTTTTCACATTTTCTGTCCCTAGGATATCTAGTAAAAATTGATATTCGAAGGGTGTGACACACGGTTATAAATACCTTACCCTTGAAAAACCCTAACCCTAACCCCTATGGTATAGGTTATGGTGTTCAACACCACAGGTGTTATTTAAAGTTTTTAATTTTTTATATCACTTATATTAAATATAATTTATATTATTTTCTCAAGTTGATTTATTTTGTGATTATTTCTTTTTTAAAAATGACTTATGGATTTATAGTATATTTAATAAATAATAAATTGAAACTAAATTAGATTAATTTTAAATATTTCAAATCTTTAATTCACATTACAAAAGGAATAACCATTTTATATTTATATTTGCATTTATTTATTGATTTATTAAATTTATACATTTAAAAAAAAGAAATTATAATATGTAAAAAAATTTCAAATAATTGAAAAAAATTTTCAACTTTAAAGTTTTTTCCTCATTCCTCCATGGTGATCAACAACAACGCTACCAACTTCATTGTTATCTAATTAAAAAATAAATTAGTATTAATTTGAATTTTTTTTAAAAAAAATATAAAGGAAAGATGCTTACCTTGACATCTCTTATCATCATTATTACCATTAGTATTATTTTTAATATTTCCGAAAGCAACATTATTGTTATTATTATTATCCATATTATTATTAGTATTCCCAATATCATTGCAATTATGAATATTAATAACATTGTTATGATAAATATATTCATTTTCATATTGTTGTTATCAGCTATAAAAGAATTGAAATAAGTGAAAGAAATAAAAAAAAATTAAACATTTAAATTTGAATAATTATCTTTTAATACCTTCTGTTGCTTGCTGTTGTTGCTGTTGAGTTTGTTGTTGTTGTGCTGGTTGCCGTTGCTGTCGTTGTTGGGACCGTTGTTGTGTGGATTGTTGTTGTTGGGAAAGTTGTTTTTGGGATCGTTGTTGTTGTTGGCTTGATGAATCCATTTTATTTCACAAATCTCTTCTATTCCTCTTTTTTTATACTTTTCTGTTTTCTATCAATAAATAATCTATTACTTTAATATTATAAAAAAAAAAACCATTGCATATGCTTTATATTACTTATAATTTGTTTCGGTTGAAAAAAATGCATTAGCCAAATTTAGCAATTTAGCAGCTTAAGTGCATCATTCTGATTATTAATACTAATAATTATTACATCAGACTAATAATCAACAATTATTAGTGAAAAGTTTTTTTGGCGAACCCAAGTCCAAATCATTTTTGGCCAACCCCTAATTTAATAAATATGATTTATACTATTATACTTTTTATTTCTCATCCAATATTATAAAAAAAAATTAGCTATTGCATATCATATGCTTTGTATTTCTTAGTACTTTTTCCGGTTGAAAAAGATCAATAGTAAACAACCTAATTTAGAAATTTAGCACATCTAATGATCTCATCAGACTTATAATCAATAATTGTTTACTTTGCGAATCCCATGTCCAAATTTATTTTTAGTAGAATAATAAAGATTCGATGATATTGAAATATGAGTACAATATCATATGTTATCATATTATTACGTTTAACACTCTCACTATAATTATATTTTTTATCATGCTCTTTATTTATCTGATGGATTGTCGGGCAGGAAAATCTGCCTGCTAACCAGTAGCATGTGAAAACTGATAATCCATCAGATAGTTATTATAGGAAACAAAAGGTATTTCTATTTTTAGAATTTATTAAAAAGATGCAATTTTATATAATAGAAAATAATTTATTAATAAATTGTATATTTCAATTGTATTTGATTATTTAAATAAATAAAATAATATGTACAGTATATTACGGGTCATAGAAATTGATTACTAATCTTGATAAATCAATACATCGCAATTCAATAATATTAGTTTTTATTTATTTATATATGACAAACAACACAGATCAAGTGGAAAACTATTTTCACAATTATTATTCTTGCATATTTACAAACCATAGTTAAATAAACGATTATATAATTTTCGAAAAGAATTTTCACTCTACCATTTGTGTAATAAAGAAAAGTTAGTTCTAGCAAACATTAGACACTGGAATTGTCTCTGTTAGAAAAGTATCAAAATCAATATTTAAATAATGTATGACAATGATTGTTAATTAGAATTTTTTGTTTTAAAAAGATAATAATTTGTTAAATGGACAAAAAATATGATTATCGATAACCAATATCATATAAAAAGTAATAAAATAGAATAATACATTATTATTGAATAAATAATTCAGTGCATTATATTCTATAAAATTAATAATTGTCAGTCAGTTTCTTGAAATAATCGTGTCACTAAAATATAAATTTTCAACACGTTTTTTTTGATTGTTTTACATATTTGGAATAGCATTAAAAATTTTCTGATTATCTTTTGACTTCCCTTTCCAATATATGAATGCACAATCATTTCCATTTTAATGAAAATCAACTGACTGACAATTATTTATTTCATAGAAAATATTGACTATATTTAATATTACCCGTCTAACAAATTATTTTTGGTGGTTTTTTTTTTTTAATAATAAGAATAATAAGTAATTTAACCATATTTGATATTACCGGTGTAAAAAATATTTAATTCTTGGCAGGTTTTTTTTAATACTAAGAATATACATTATGTAATATCTGTTGTAAACATGTTGAAAAGTTCTAATAAATAATAGTGACTAAAAAAAAATATAATAATAAAATATTAATTTTTATTAGAGTAATGATATAATGTCGATCATAAAATAGTAAAATATGAGATCAATAAAAAACGTGACATGCTTAATAATAATCTTGATAAAATAATAATTATAATTATAATAAAAAATACTATACTGATTTGTCGATTATCGGCTGAGTAAACTATTAAATTAATTCAGCAATCAAGCATGCTTAAAATTTTTTAATAATTAATCAATAATATTGACTAATAATTATAATTATCATCGGCTGAGTAAACAAACATGCAATATTGTAAACTGAATATTTCTAATTAAAGTTTACAAGAAAGAAAAAAAAAGAATTAATATAAAGATTAATGAAATATTAACGGTTTATTAAAAAAAATTTTAATAATTACATTAATAAATTATATATTCCACGTATTATTATTGTGGAGAATGTAAAAGGAAAATATTAACGTGAAAATAAAAAAAAAACTATCAGATGTCAAGTAAAAAATAGGAGGCATCAAATAATTATAAAAAGAGTTGATTTATTCGTTTTCCGTCTTTTCTCCTTTCCCACCATTAATTCTTCATATTATAATACCTTTCTCTGATATTTTAAAAATCCTTCTAAAAAATTTATATTATATTAAAAATTTTAATCGAAAAAATGAAAAGAGACAGACCTTTATCATCTTCTGATTTAATAACTTTACCAAATAAAAAGAGAAAAATTGAGACTTCTCCCTCAACTCAAAATAAAAAAGTATTCGGATTCGGTACAAAATATTCTGGAAATTCGTTTGCCAGTATAAGCTCACAAAGAAAAAATATTTTTGATGAGCAACCTTCGCAAGGGAACGATAATAAAGGAGAAAATAAAAATAATAACGATAATGAAAAAAATTTATTAAAAGAACAAGAGGGTAAAACATTGATAACAATAATAACAATAATTAAAATAATATAATGATAAATAATAATAATATAATATATTTTTTCATATTAATTTATTTAGTGTTAACGGGGGAAGAGGACGAGGTTACACTACATACAGTTCGGGTGAAATTATATTGTATGGAGGAGCAGTGGAAAGAAAGAGGAGTCGGCCTTTTGAAACTTAATCGTTCAAAAAGCACTGTAAAATCACCGCGTTTAGGTAAACTTAAATATAATTTTGTAATTATTTGCCAATAATATTATATTATTAATGAATATTTAATAAATTTATAGTTATGCGCACTGAGAATACATTAAAGGTGATTTTAAACATAACATTATTCCACGGAATGCATGTTGAAAAACAAGACAAATTCGTAAGATTATTCGTATATGAAGATGCCACACTCGTTCATCTTGCGATCAAGGTTTGTAATTTGTAATTTTGTAGTTCTATTTTATTATATTTTCATTATATTTATATTTTATTATATTACATTTTCTTTAGTTATCCAATTCGAAGGCAACTGACGATTTATACAATACTATTATCGATGCAATTCCTTCAACCCAAAATTAATCACATTTTATACTTTTATTTTCTTTATTATGTTTTGTTTTATTCTACTATTATAATTTTACTATTTTTTTTTTTTTATTTCTTATTTTACATTTCTATATTTTTCGAAAATAAATAATGAATTTGAATACAAAAACCAAAAATGTTTATAATAATTTATAACTACTGAAATGAAATATCTAATAATATTTATAATCATAATAATGGAATTAACGATGATGAATATTTATCTAAATTAATATTTCATTGTTTCCGTTTAGTCTTTTTTGTGACCGCAGAATCATATATAAATAATTAAATTAAATGAATAAATATTTTAATTGCCAAAGTTAAAGTGTTTCTCATAGTTTGTTTATTAAGATAATAGAAAAAAACATAATATGATATAACAAATAGAAAAATTAATACATAATATGATATAAAAAAATACAAAAAAAAAATACATAATATCATATAACAAATAAAAAAATACATTATATGAAATATAGATGTTGAATTTGGAAAACGGATGAATATTTTTCTTCGAAAAAAAATAAAACTACATATTTTAGATTGAAATAGGATTGTAACCTCACCTGTATCTTTAACTTTTGCTACGACAACAATTTTAGTTTTCTGTTCACATAAATCCTAAATGCATCATTTTAAAATCCATCCCTGAAACTTTATTTATTTCGTATGCAACTTCTTTCTTATCAATCCAAAAGTTAAATTCAACTATGTGTATATTTCGAGGTGTAAATTGTCAAATAGATAGTTTCGTTCGGAATTTAATAATTAATTTGCTAAATCCTTGTTCGACGATTTGTAAAAATTCTATTCGTATTGTTGATTGTTTTCGAATATCCTATAAATAAAATTAAGTAAATGAATATTTATTATATTGAAATGGTATGATTAAATAACTAAAGAATAAATTACAATGTAATATCATTTTTTATTTGATATATCACTTACCAAATCTCAGAGGAATACCTCGTGATAGAAATGTATTTACATGTTCACTATGTTATCTAGATTTTCAGGAGACGAAAGATCTAATATAATTGGAATTGAAAATGATTCTTGCGAATAACTCGTAATTGTCCTGGATATGCTGGACGAAGTAACTGAATATCAATAATATTTATTAATATAAATTAAAATATCATACATATAAAAAAATGAAATGAATAATGACAAGAAAACAATAATAATTTACATGATAAGTATTATCAAAAGAATATCTCGAATCCCTTCCAATATCATTTAGCGATATGATACAAATATCAAGAACTTTTCCTGAAGAATTTTAGACGATTTGAGCTTCGACTATAATTGGTGACAAAATTATTCCTATCACCTAACCTGAACTTAAACCAAGATTCAAAAACGATAAAATCGTTTGACGTTCACGGCATAACAATTTAAATAAACTAAATGCAATTTTTTAATCTGGATTATAATATCTTTAAGTATTAATTTAAAAATTACCTAAATGGATCAACCGATAACGGATTCATTACTAATCCATTAAGTCAACATAAATTTTTTTCTAAACATTAATGGTCTTGATTCATTTCAATTTCCTGTCCTAATAAATAACTTAACGGTACTTGAGACATATAATGTGAATAATTGTGTAAGTGTTTTCAATGGATCTTAAGAATCCAATATACTTTAACTTGCGCTGTTTTGAATCTCGAACCTAAAAGTCAAATATACTGTATTAAAGAAAAAAATATTAATAAACCTTACTTTTAATTTCAGCAGCTTTGAGGTTTAATTTTGGAACTATTTTGTTCAAATAGCTAATCATTAAAGGATTCGAAATTATTTATTGATTCTCTAAGTTTATCTTATTATCCATTTCTTTAATAATAATAAAAAATAATAGTAAATTATTAGATATCAATATTAAATAATATAATGATAAAATTGTATATATTAAATATTTTACCTGCTTCTACTTTACGATCATCAATTACACAATTACAATATAATCTCCATTTTTTAAAGTCATTTCTACTCAATATCCTGATAAGTAAAATGTTTCTTGACTTTTTTTAATTTCTATTAAAGATTCCCGCAAATTCCGTTGATGACTTACTTTAGTTTTACGTGTATGATCGAATGATTAAAGTTTAGGTGTAGACCTATTTATATTTATAAATTTTAATTATTAATTATAAGTTATAAATTTATTAAAATTAAATTAAAGTTAATTAAAATTAAAAATCAAATTAATAAAAAATCTATTTTCTAACCCTTACATTAATATATCCAATTAAGTAAAAAATGAATAAAACATCCGTCAATAATTAGTAAGCAAGTCATAAAAAATATTTCCACATTTTAGTTTAATCACCAAACTCATCGGAAAAGTTCCAACTTCATCGCTTCAGTGTAGTGGGTGTCTTTTTCTCAATCAGTATTGACGACATCGATATCTTTGTCATCAACTTCCGGTGCATGAGTAGTGCTAATAATTATGAGTATTATTAATTAATTATTAAAATGTTAATCATAGTCATCGAAATCAAAAAAAAAACCTATACTTACATGACCTCATCATCAACAGGTTCCTCATCTTTTGACTGAAAGCATATTTTCATATTTGTCATTATAGTAATGCTTTTTCTCTACGCTCGCATTGAAAGATTCTGATTCTAAGCAAGACCTTCAGTAAAATTATTTTTTTTAACCGAATATTCTATAAAAAATCAAACTTACGTTGTTGTCGGTCAATGAAGAACGCCGAACCGGATTTACTTAAGCCTTACAAAAATGTACCTGCTACCTCACAAACTTGATTGTCACTAATAAAAATATAAAATAATATCAATCGATTATTAATAAATGTAATTAGATCATAAAATTTATATGTCATTAATATTACCTACCATTTAGTGGGGAGGAAATGTAAGGAGAATATCTTCTCCTTACCCTTCTGTCTATATCTATAATAAAAGACATTCAAAGATTAAATTAGTTTGCAATAATAACATTATGCTTAATATTATGTAAATAACTTTATAAAGATTCGCCAGTTTTGATGATCGCGAGGGCTTTTTTACCCATTCTTCTTTGTTACACTTGTTTCACGGATGCATAGGCAGCTTTACGCGCTTTCTCAGTGTATTTGGCTCTTTGGCTTTGTCAATTGCGGCTTAATATTCATCCTTGGGAGTGAGAGTGTCAAGAGGAGACTTGAGAGGGAAATCATCACTATTAAAGTTAACAGAAAAAAAAATATATAATAATATGTTTGTTTTAAATAAAATTAATCTAAAAGATCTTCCTTTTCAATAAAAAAACATAGGTTCAGACAGAAAACGTTTGTTTATGAAATACATTATAAAATAGGTTTGTTTTCGCGTGTTTATTTTTCTTTATAGTCTAATTTTCTCGCGAGTTTACTAAACTTTATATTTTTTTTTTTCGTATATTTCGAATCTCCTTTAACTGACATTTGTTTATATATACTTCTTTTTTCTAACGAAAATATTTTGTCTCTCACGAATCTTTGCCATTCAGCATACTTACTCCTCAAGTTTTGACATTAAATCAACCAAATACCATTCTTGTGAAGTTTTTTCACTGGTCTTCGCCATCTTGACAATTGCTTTTTGTTTGGTTTAGAAGTTTTGGAGAGTTTTAAAAGGTGGTTTGGAAATAGTCCTTGAAGCGTTGGTTATTCTTCGTGTAGTATGAGTTGAGCCAAAATAATGAAGAGGAAACAAAGTAAATTTATTTCATGTGATTCAAGATGAGCCAATGACGACTGAGTCATGATCAACCATGATTCACGTATTGATTGGCTCATCAGATTACGCTACTTTTTCAGACGAGGATCCTTATCCGTGAACTGTGCCTAGACCCTTTTTCTGTGCGCCTACCTCTCAGAATTTCATTGGTTCAGTCCCCAGGATATTTAACAAAAATGGACACTACCCTGACAAACCAACCCTGCAGGCACAGATACCCTACTCTGCACACTACACGCGTGAACATTTGACGCGATATATGTTTTTACTAAATTTAAAATTTCCTCTATAGCAAAGCATCTTGTAATGTCTAACGTATTACTTTGTTATTACATAAAATTGGAAATCAAAAATCGATTTAAACATTTTGTTGAATGGTAAAAAATTTATTGATTAAATTTATTATTGTTAAAAAATATTGATTAATAATACTATTTGATAATTAAACTTACACTTATTTCTTTGAATTACATCATTTTTACATTAAACCAAAAAAAAAAAAAAAGAAATCTTTAATTGAAAGAAAAAAACATTTCTAAATAAAGAAAAAATAATAAGAACGAAAAAATTGGAATATGGATATAATATTATAGATTATTCGTCACAAAGGATTGAGTAGACGATTGAATTGTTGATAACGCTTCTTTCAAGATATTTTTAGAACCAGATTATAAAAAAGAGAGATTGAATTTATATTATATTATTTTTATTTATATGATGAAAAAGAATGAAGTAAAAAAGAAAGAAAGAAGAAAAGAAAGGATTTAGATAACGACATTTCATCTATGACATTCAAAAAATCTTTACTTAAAAAATATAATCGTCATTATTCATCATTAATAAAATGGACAAACATTTAAACATTACGAATATCACGACAAATATATTCATTATTACCTTATAGTCTTCTGATTCGATGGCTTTAGATGACAATTGGATAGTATCTTAATATTTTACATAAATTATTAAATTCAGAAATTTAATCATGATATTTCTAATCTTAATTACCTAGCTATTATCAGATGATGGTTCTTGGTTAGGTTTTCAATATTACACAATTATTATTTGTTTCGGGATTTATCAACAATATATTTAATTCTTATTAGCAACTACTTCAAGTTTATTTCTTCATGAATGAACAACGTAAATATGAGAAATCAGCTGAAATTTTATTCGAACTGGAGCAAGCTTTTTGTGAGTATTTTTATTATTATTTCGATTTATTTTTATTATTATTTATTCTCTTATTCATTTATTATTTGTTATTTATTATTTTAGATTTAGTTTATTTTATTTTATTTGTTAAATTTACCATATTTTATTTCCTAATTAAATACAGAAAATGAAATGATAATTCCACATTAAACTTGTAACCCAATAATATCATCGCAAGATCATTTACGAAGAAATTTTCATTTTTTAATTTATTGTACATTCTACTAACCTTTATACTTTAATTTTAAATTAGAGTCCGGAATGTTGGTTCAGATATCAAACCTCTGTTGTATTTCTCGTAAAGAATTTAGAGACGGAATATATTATTTAATTATTTAATTATTTAATAATTCATTATTATTTGGTTATTATTTTTGTTTATATTTTATTTATTCATCATTATTTATTGTCATTTAATTACTCATTATTTTTTATTTATTTATGTAGTTGCACGTATTATGTATCAATATGTCAAGGGAATAGAAAAGAGTAGTTTAGCATTTGATAATCTACAAAAAGCCATTATTGATTTAGAATCCGGTTATCTTTCGGCCGTTAGGTGTTAGAAGTAATTATAGGAAAGCAAAAAAACCAATTAATAAGGATAACCATTTAAACTGCAAAGACTAATCAAGGAATTTAAAACGGATAATCCGGTAATGCAATCTTTATCTATCTCTGTATAAAAATATAATTAATACCAAGAAAATAAGGAGTTATCTTACATTATTTTTCATTCAGAAAAACAGACAAATAGACCCACTTTTAAGGAATTATATGATGAAATACGATAAATATTATTATTATTATTAATTATTAGAAGGGAAAAATAAAGATCCAGAAATTATAATTCAAATTAAAAAGCCAAAAATTTCAGAAAATCGAAAATCATTCAATACAACAACTACAAAAAATTCCACTTAATTATCAAACACTGGACTATTTAATTTTTCAAATCTTCGAAAAATGAATTAAATAAATCTGTTTGGTTTATGTCCTTGTAAGATTTGCTATATTTTAATTTAATCATATAATTTTTATAGTTATTTACAGTAGATTAATTTATTCTACGTAATTTAGAGAATTCTGGAATTATCGATTTGGATTGTCTGATTTTTAAATTTTATTTGACATCATATACGAATACTTATCCATTAGATATGTGGATTTATTTGGGATGGATCACAAGATATAATTTTTCCCAACCTACCTCCCGAAATTTTATTAAGGTTGATTTTGAATCAAAGAATTTTTGATGAATTCAAATATGAAATCGATTAAAATTAGACTTAGAAGCAAATTTTTGACAATGAAAATACGGCAGAATTTATTATTAATGAGATATAATTATTTAATTACTTGTTTCAAAATTTTATATTTATATGATCGATATCGGTTAGCTTTAGCAATATCCAAATTTTACAGGATGATGAAATTGAAGGTGGAAAGATAACTTGTCCTAATTATATGTTACTAGTCCATTGGTCATGCTAGCCAATGTCATAGTAATAATTCTAAAACTTAATATATATTGTAATTTAATAATAAAATATTTGTCGACGTTATATATTTGAAATAAAAAAAAACTAGATGTCAATCTGTACTATATTACACAATTTATTAGATCTACGATCACACGCAAAAATTATTGGATGAATTATTGTTATCCAAGATTTCGTTTTTGATATTTTGCTAAATGGTGCATCAAAAAAATGCAACATTAATATCACTTTAAATGTCCTACGCTATGCTCCGGACAAAAATGTTTTACACTATGCTCCGGACAATAATTCATTCGTTTATTTCGAAAATAACACATGAATAAAAAATAGATAAGTAAATAAACTAATAATTAGACAGTCATTAAATTAAATTAATAAATGATTTATTGTAATGTTAAATAAATTTCTATTATTTAATCGTATTAAACTAATATAATAATGTTTCATTTAATATTAGATCACCACCAACAAATGGATTGTTTGTATTGTTCTTTATTATATCCAAATCCATTTCAGGATTTCGCGAATTGATTTGTTCATCGATTTAATGAATTATAAATGAATAAAAAAATGTTAATAAATATAATGATAATGATGGACGAAGCATTTAATCATGTTGATAAATCAATGAAATCATTGATGTATCTAAATTATGAGATAAGAGACAATCTATGAATCAATTAACGTTTCAATTAATGATTCGATGGAACTTTTTTGTTATTAAGTACACTAATAGCATGATGATTATAATGAAATCATAAAATAAATAAATAGTTGAAAATCAAATTTTATAAATCATTCATATATTTATTTAAAATTGAAATAATTGTATACATATAAAACATCCGAAATAAAAAAAAAAAATAAAGTAAAAAAAAGAAATTAATTGAAATCATTTTCATCGCCAACACCGATATAATTCAACTTCACACCAAAACCACAACTACTTTGAAATTTTATAGAAACTAACTAATATCTAAATTATTTACAAAATGAAAATAGCTTTAAATGTTCTATTTAAATACAATTCATTTATAACTTTCTTTTTTTAGAAACGTGTCCATCTTCATAATCATCATCATCTTTTATATAATAAAAAAAAAGGTATAGTGTAATTAGTTTCGATATAAACTTTTGATATGTATAATAAAATATTTATAAATATTTACCGTGCTTTCTTTTATTACTTTTATTATCGTTATTATTTTTATTTTGTAGCCCCATTGAGGTAGCTGCCAACAAAAGATTAATTTGTTGTTGTTGTTGGTTTAGTTTATGAGGGATTCCTAAATTC